AGGCCGCGCGAGGAGGGGACAGCGGTGCCCCCGGGCTGGCGGAGGGCACGCACGGGGCTGGCCCGGCTGCGGCTCCCCCCGTGCTCCCGGTGCCCGCGGTACCCCCGGTGCCCGCAGCGCGGCGCTGTCCCCGCAGGTCTCCAGGGCGAGCGCGGCTCTCGCGAGAGTTGCGGCAGAGCGCGGTCCCGGCGTGCCCCGCGCGCGGCCATGCGGCTGCGGGTCCCGGTGCGCGGCCCCGCGGCGCTGAAGGTGCTGGCGGCCGCCGGCGCCGCCGCCGCCCCGGTGCAGCTCGTGTGGGGCGGCCCCAGCGGTGAGCGCGGCTCCCCCCCCACCCCGGTCCGCTCCGTGCCGAGCCGAGCCCCGCGGGCGCTCACTCGTGTCTCCCGCAGAGCCGCCGCGAGCCCCGCTGCGGCCGCCGTGGGCCCCGGCGCTGGAGCTGGAGAGCGGCGCCGTCCTCTTCTCCGCCAACGCCATCTGCCAGTGAGTACCGGGGGCGCGCGGGCCGCGGCTGCCCCCCCCCCCCCCCCCCCGTCCGCACCTCACCCCCCCTCCCCGTCTCCAGGTTCTTCTTCCTGCGCCGCGGGGATGAGCCCTCGGACCTCAGCAACCAGTGGCTGGAGTGGGAGGCGACCGAGCTGCAGGTGGGTGCGCGGACACCGCCCCCCCCCCGCCCCCGCCGGGCCCGGCCCGCATTGACCGCGCTGCCCTCGCCCGCAGCCCTTGGCCGCCGCCGCGCTCTACGCCCGGCTGGTGCTCGGCAGGAGGGCGGCGGAGGCGGTGCAGGCCCTGCGGGAGCCGCTGGCCCACATCGAGCAGAGCTTGGCCAGGACGGGCGCTGCCTTCCTCGCGGGGGTGAGTGGCACCGGGGCGCAGCCCCGCGCGCTGGGTCCTTGTCCCTGGGGGGCTGCTCCGGCCGCGGCCGGCCCTGACGGCTGCTCTGGCACAGGACACCCCGTCCGTGGCTGATGTGGTTGTGTGGGGCACCTTGTACCCCGTCCTCCAGGAGGAGAGCAGCCTGCCAGGTAAGCGTGGCACGGAGGGGGCATCCCTTGCCGTGCCGTGGCCGTGAGAATCACGCTGCTCTCTCGTTGCCTCCCGAGGTGAGCTGCAGGCGCTGAGGACCTGGTTCCAGAACATGACGCTCTCGGAGGCTTGCAGAGACGCTGCTGACACCGTCCTGATGCCCCAGGCGCTGCTGGAGTTCAAGTCCTACCTCCAGAAGCAGCCTCCCCCCTGCCTGGCTATGCAGAGAGCCACCAGTAACGAGCCCGAGGTGCAGCCCTGGCCCCAGGATGGGCCCCAGTGGCGCTGGTGCTGACAGCCCCTTACCGGGACCTGCTTCCCCTGCAGGAGGAGGAAGGTTCTGAGCGGGCCCTGACAGAGGATGAGATCGCAGCTGCTGCAGACGCCTGGGCTCGTGGGGCTGCGGCGCTGCCCAAGCCCTGGCAGCCTCAGAAACCTGTGTGAGTCCTGGGGCAGCACGAGGGCTGCCCCACACGTCTCGGACCCAGGCTGATCCCACGCTGTTGGGGTGAGGGGGGTGGTGGTGACCCTGTTGCTCCTTGTGCCTGCCCTGAGTGCCCTGCTCGTGCCAGGCTGCCCGTGGAGGGCATGAGGAACGTCCTGATCACCAGCGCTCTGCCCTATGTGAACAACGTGCCCCACCTTGGCAACATCATTGGCTGCGTCCTCAGCGCTGACACCTTTGCCAGGTGACGCTCGGGAGCGGGAAGGCTCCCTGGGGATCTCCATCGGGGGCTGTCGTGGCCCCCCGCCGCCTGCAGGGGTGTCACAGGTCCCTGCCTGGCAGGTACTGCCGCCTGCGGAACTGGAACACGCTCTACGTGTGCGGCACGGACGAGTACGGCACCGCCACTGAGACCAAGGCGGTGGAAGAGGGGCTGACACCGCAGGAGATCTGCGACAAGTACAACGCCATCCACACCGACATCTACCGCTGGTTTGACATCTCCTTCGACTGCTTCGGCCGCACCACCACGCCGAGCCAGACCACGTGAGGGGCTTGCATGCAGGGGCTGGTGCTGGGGGCAGCCCCATGGGCCTAGCTGAGGGTGCTTTGTGCTCCTAGGCTGATGGGGGGCTGCCCCCTTTTTCTTCCTGTCCTGACCCAGGATTGCCCAGGACATCTTCCAGCGCCTGCTGGAGCGCGGGTTCCTGCTGCAGGACACGGTGGAGCAGCTGCGGTGCGAGGGCTGCCAGCGCTTCTTGGCCGACCGCTTCGTGGAGGGCACTTGCCCTTTCTGCAACTACGAGGAGGCGCGGGGGGACCAGTGTGATAAATGCGGCAAACTCATCAACGCTGTGGAGCTGAAGGTGGGACAGGAGCCCTCTGGGGACCACCCTGCAACCCTGCCCCTGCTCTGCCTGAGACCCCCTCCTGCCTTGCCCTGGGCTTCGTCCAGCCCCTGTTTCTGCTGACAGAGCCCACAGTGCAAACTCTGCAGGGGTGTCCCTGTAGTGAAGCCCACCCAGCACCTCTTCCTCGACCTCCCCAAGGTGAGCCTCGTCCCTGGGGGAGCGCAGAGGGGTTGGGGCACCCCTGGTACCACTGCCCACCCCTCTGTGTTCCCTGCAGCTGGAGCAGCGGCTGGAAGCCTGGCTGGAGCAGTCCTGGGCCACGGGGGACTGGACGGCTAACGCTCGCTACATCACCCGCTCCTGGATCCGGGATGGGCTCAAGCCCCGCTGCATCACCCGTGACCTCAAGTGGGGCACTCCGGTGCCCCTCGATGGCTTCCGTGACAAGGTGGCTCCAGCCTGGCCCTGGGTTGCAGTGCTTGTCCCCGGGTGCCCTGTTCAGGGGTCCCATGCTCACGCGTCACCCTCTTCCTCAGGTCTTTTATGTGTGGTTTGATGCTCCCATTGGGTACTTGTCCATTACAGCCAACTACACCAACCAGTGGGAGAGGTGGTGGAAGAATCCACAGCAGGTAGGAGCCTGGTGCTGCTGCAGGGTGGAGGTGGGGGTTGAGGTAGAGCTGGACACCACTGATGTGTTCCCCCTATGCTACCCATCAGGTTGAGCTCTACAACTTCATGGCCAAGGACAACGTTCCGTTCCACAGCGTCATATTCCCCTGCTCGCTCCTGGGTGCTGATGACAACTACACCCTGGTGAACCACCTCATTGCCACAGGTACTGGAGGAGCACTGTGGGTTATGGGGGTGCGTGTCTGTGCTTGGGCCCCATGATGGGGTCTCTGCTGCCCTCCCCAGAGTACCTGAACTACGAGGATGGGAAGTTTTCCAAGAGCCGGGGTTTGGGAGTGTTTGGGGACATGGCCAAGGACACGGGCATCCCGGCGGACATCTGGCGCTTCTACCTGCTGTACGTGCGGCCTGAGGGGCAGGACAGCGCCTTCTCCTGGAGCGACCTCATGCTCAAGAACAACTCCGAGCTGCTGAACAACCTGGGCAACTTCATCAACAGGTTCTGGGGCAGCCTGGCTGGGCAGGGCCTGTCCCTGTCCCCGTCCCCAGGCTGCGCTGACGCCTGCTCTGCCTCTGTACCCAGGGCTGGCATGTTCGTGTGCAAGTTCTTTGGTGGCACCGTCCCCAGCATGGTGCTGACACCCGATGACAAGCGGCTCCTGGCCCGTGTCACGCTGGAGCTGCGCCAGTACCACCAGCTGCTGGAGAAAGTCCGGTGGGTGGCTGGAACCCTGGAGCCAGGGCTACGAGGGTGGAGGGCAGAGCCCAGCCCTGCCCTGCAGCAGGCACTGACCGCCCTCTTCCCCCCCAGCATCCGGGACGCTCTCAGATGCATCCTCAGCATCTCTCGTCATGGCAACCAGTACATCCAGGTGAACGAGCCCTGGAAGCGGATCAAGGGGGATGAAAATGATAGGTACAGGGGAAGATGGGGGTGCTGGGGGGGGGCAGGCTGGGAGCTGGCACTGACAGGGTTTCCTGCCCCCCAGGCAGCGCGCAGGGACAGTGACTGGTGTGGCTGTGAACATGGCTTCCCTGCTGGCTGTCATGCTGCAGCCCTACATGCCCAGTGTCAGCTTGGCCATCCAGGGGCAGCTCTGCATCCCCCCGGACTGCTTCGTCCTGAGCCATGACTTCACCTGCACCCTGCCCCCTGGGCATCGTGTGGGCACTGTAGGTGGAGGGGAGGGCAGTGCTGGGGGGACCAGGGGCATTGGCTCTGTGGGGTGACACCATCTTCCCCCTCGGCTGCAGGTGAGTCCCCTTTTCCAGAAGCTGGAGACGGACCAGGTTGAAGCCCTGCGCAGGCGCTTCGGGGGAGCACAGGTGAGTGAGGGTCTCCACAGCTCCTCCGCCTCTGCTTTCTGTCCCCCTCTCATTTCCTGTCTCTCCTCTCCCACCCTGAAGATCTCGGGGGTGCCACAGCGACCTCCCCTTCTCCAGTATGAGGGGAGCTGGGTGGAGAGCTCTGCCCCTGAGGGCTGGGACCAGGGCTCACACCTGGTGCTGTCCTTCCCCAGGCCAAGCAGACACCCCCAGCCCCACAACCTCCTCCAGCCCCAGAGACCCTCGTGGCCCCCGCTGACCCTCAGCGGCTGCAGGAGCTGATGCAGGAGGTGGCCAGGCAGGTGAGCAGGGGGCAGAGGGGTGGCCCTGACTTGCCTTTACCTCCCCAAGCCCTCATTGCTTCCCCCCCCGACCTGACCCAGGGCAACCACGTTCGGCAGCTGAAGGCCAGCAAGGCAGAGAAGGCCCAGATCGAGGTGGAGGTGGCCAAGCTGCTGGAGCTGAAGAAGCAGCTGGCATTAGCAGAGGGCAAAAGCCCTGAAGTCCCTGCGCCCAAGGGGAAGCAGAAGAAGTAGCACCAGGCCCGCCAGTGCTGCCCAGAGACCACACCGGGCTGGTGGCTATGTCTGTAATAAATGCAAACCATGTACAACCGTGCGTGCTCGCGGGGCCCTCCCCACAGCATCAGTCAGTGCCGGCGGGGCAGCACCCTTCCAGTTCATGGCTGCCCCCCGCTCTGGAGCCATCAGAGTCCTGGCAGCACTGCCTAGGCCCGGCGGAGGTTCACGATGCGGTCGATGAGGGCCGCCCGCGTGCGCTGCACCTCGGTGCTGAGCCGCTGGATCTCGGCGCGGAGCCGCTCGTTGTGCGCCGTCAGCTCCAGCACCCGCTGCTCGCTGGCGCGCTCCCGGTGCTTGGCGCGCTCCCGGCTCGCCGCGGTGCCGCCGCGGAGCTGCCGCTTCACCCCGCGCCGGGCAGCGGCAGCCGCCTCCTGGGGCGGGGACCCGCGTCCGGAGGCTGCGCCCGGCGGCGCTGGCTCGGGGCCGGCTCCGCTCTCCGGCCCCAGCAGCTCCAGCAGCTCCGCGGCCAGGGCAGCGTCCAACGCGCAGGGCTCCGGGCCCGCGCCCTCCGCGCCGCACAGCGCCGCCTGCGGGCCGAGAGCGGGCACCAGCGCCGGGTGACGGCGACCCCCTGCCCCGTGCCCGCTGCCCGGGCCGCTGCCGCCCCTCACCTGCTCGGGCCCCCAGGGCGGGGGCGCTCCGCTGGGCTCCGCGGCCGCCAGCACCTCCTGCAGGTCCTGGTACCAGGCCTCCAGCTCCCAGCCGGACGGGGCCGCTGCGGGGTCCCCCGCAGGCAGACCCTCGGCTGCCATCGGCACCCGCGCGCGGGCCGCTCTGCGCGGGGCACGGAGAACAGGGCCTGGCTGAGGCCGGGACTCGGCTCGGGGGCAGCGGTGGCGGCAGCCCCAGGGCGCGGCGCCCGCCCTTACCTGCCCTCAGGTGTGGTGGTCCACAAGGACGCTCCGCCTCCCGGATGCCTGCGGACAGAGCGCGGCGGGGTCGGCGCTACCCGCGGGCACCGCCGGCAGAGGGGGGCGGGTCCCCCCCCACGCGCGGGGCCTGAGGGGACCCGGGAGCCCCGCGCCCCCCGCCCCAGCTCGGTACCGGCAGCGCCGCCCTGCGCGGCCCCGTCCCGCGCCTGCCCCGGCCCCAGCTCCGCCGCCCGCTCATCCTCGTCCACATCGCTCCGCGCTGCCCCGCACCCGCCGCCCGCGCCCCTTTTAAGGGCCCTGACGCAACGCTCGCCCCAGCCGCAGCCAACGGGCGCGCACAGCGACGTGACGTACAGAGCACTGCTGACCAATAGGAGCCGGAGGGCGGGGCGGAGAGGCCCCTGGCGACCAGCGCGGCGGTCACGCCGGGGGATGACGCAACGGCTGGAAACGGCACCGCCCGCCTGAAAGACAGCGGCGGGGCTGGAGAGGGGATGGGGATGGGGATGGGATGGGATGGGGATGGGGATGGGGATGGGGATGGGGATGGGGATGGGGATGGGGATGGGATGGGGAGGGGATGGAGAGGGGACGGGGATGGGATGGGGCTGGGATGGGGATGGGGAGGGGACGGGGAGGGGATGGGGATGGGATGGGGATAGGGATGGGCTGGGAATTGGACTGGGATGGGGCTGGGATGGTGATGGGATGGGGATAGGGATGGGGATAGGGCTGGGGCTGGGGCTGGGATGGGGATGGGACGGGGAGGGGATGGGGAGGGGCTGGGGCTGGGGCTGGGGCTGGGCTGGGGCTGGGGCTGGGGCTGTGGAGGGGACGGGGATGGGATGGGGCTGGGCTGGGGCTGGGGAGGGGACGGGGATGGGATGGGGAGGGGATGGGGATGGTGATGGGATGGGGCTGGGGCTGGGGCTTGGGAGGGGCTGGGGAGGGGCTGGGGAGGGGACGGGGATGGGATGGGGCTGGGATGGGGATGGGGAGGGGACGGGGATGGGACGGGGATGGTATGGGGAGGGGACGGGGATGGGGATGGTGATGGGATGGGGAGGGGATGGGGATGGGATGGGGAGGGGATGGGGATGGGATGGGCTGGGAATGGGGATGGGCTGGGATCCGATCTATTCCGCGGGGGCTCGGCTCGGCCCCGGCGCTTCCCAGCGCATCCCGGGAGCCGCCGTGACGCGGGTGGGTGCGGGCGGGCCCGGGCCCCGTCCCCACGGCTCGTGTCCATCTCCAGTCGCTTGCTTCCTCCAGCCGAGCAGCCCCGGTGCTGTTAAGCTGCCCCCCCCCCCCCGCCGTGTGTGCCCGCCCCAAGAAGGGCTCGGGTCCTCGCGTGCTCCCGGCCGGGGCGCCCCGAGCCAGGCCCCGGCCTCGGCTGCGCTTCCGGCGGCCTCTGCCTCTCCCTGCGCTGCAGCCCCGAGGCGGGGAAGCCGCGTGGATGCAGCGCGCGCTTCTGCGCTGGTCGCGGGGAGCAAGGGGGTGTCTGAGGCCGGTGCAAGGCTCAGCCCAAAGGTGCCGGGACAGAAGCTCTGCCCCCTCCAGTGGCACCCCAGCACCCCCCACCCCGGGCCTCCCAACCCCTCTAGAGCCCCCCCCAGCAAGCAGGGGAACCCCCTCCTCACACCCCCTCTCCCCGAACCGCCCCCATCGCCCCAGAGGGACATCACCCGGGGGAGGCTTCAGCGAGGGGGAACAGGGGTGGATTATGATGGATGGAGGATGGATGGATGGATGGATGTGATACGCGGATTGACTCCACAACTCGTTAAAGTTGTAAAGCAGGTATGCTTTTTATTCAGCGCTGAGACGCACGGGGATAATTCCCCAAAGTCATGCGTGCCTCAGTGTTGTTTCCCTCTACATTTATTCTCTAAAGTTGTATATATTCATAAGGTTGCACAACATGCCTATACATATTCATGTCCTATCCCCGCTTCATATTATAATGAGTTAGAAGGTCCTTTGCACCTGTGCAGTGCCCCCTCTGGTCATGGGCAGGGGTCTCAAGATGAAGTAAATGAGTCTTCCTCTTCTTGAACTTTTCACCTTTTAGTCTTCACGTATGGCCTTAGGGTTTGGTCGGTGTCCCAGCTATAACCCATCTGCTTCTCCCCCTTAAGCCATCTGCTTTTCCTTATCAATAGCGGCTTATCAGTAGAATCAGGCATCTGCTTTTCCTTGTCAGTAGAACCAGGTGTCTGCTTCTCTTTATCAATGGTTCATGCCTTTGTTCTGCTTAGTAGGCATGATAGGTACAGACCATACCTTTGTTTAAGCAAGCGAATTCCTCTAACCCCCTTGTACAACCCCCCTGTACATTGGTTAACCCTGTATCAGATGGACGGATGGATGGGTGATGGATGAATGGATGGATGATGGATTGGTGATGGATGGATGATGGATGGATGAATGGAAGGATGATGGATGATTGATGATGGATGGATGGATGATGCATGTATGGAAGATGGGTGATGGATGATGGATGGAGGATGGATGGATGATGGATGAACGGATGAGTGGAAGGATGATGGATGATGAAAGATGGATGATGGGTGGATGATGGATGATGATGGATAACAGATGAATGGATGAATGAATACACATAGATTCCATAAGCCTCATCTCCTATTACTTTCCCATCTGTAATGCTGAAAGCCCATTGTGAAGAGCAGCAGTGAACCACTGAAACCCTTGTAGGGTCCAAACACAAATCAGTCTATTACAAACAAATTCTTTAATCATGTCCAATTTAATAGTTAAGAGTCCCAGGGCAGCTCCTCACAGCAGTCAGTCAAACCATGGACAGTTCAGGCTCAGTCCAGTTCAGTCACTCACAAGGGGATGGGGTGGGATTGACATGGGATGGGAAGGGGTGGGATCGAATAGGATTAGCATGGGTTGAGGTGGGATGGAATGGAGTGGGCCTGTGTGGGGTGGGATGCAAAGATGAGATGAGAGGCAATGCAATGGGATGCTTTGAGATGCAATGAGATGCCATGGGATGGCAAGAGATAGGGGATAGGAGATAAATAAGAGAGGAAGAAGAGAAGAGAAGAGAAGAGAAGAGAAGAGAAGAGAATGATGAAATGACTCAATGAAATTATATCAAATGGACATGAAATTAAATGAAATAAAATAATGTGAAAAAAAAACAAAAAGAAATGAAATGATATGATAGGAAATGGTATATTTTTGGAGAGAAGAGGAGGAGAGAAAATGACGAGGAGGAGAAAAGAAACCAAATGCAAAGAAATGGAAATGAAATTATATGATATGATGCTATAACATGACGTAACATGATATGATAAAACATAATATGGTATATACTATGATACAATATATGCTATGAGGGTGAAACAAATTTAAATGAAATGACATCAAATGGACATGAAATGGAAATGAAAATGGAAGGAAATTAAATACAATCAAATTCTATGGTATGGTATGATATGGTATGGTACAGCATGGTATGTATGATACGCTATGATAGAGGAGATATGCTATGATATGCTTTGATAAGGTATGATATGCTATGATATAATATTGTATATGTGATATGATGGTATGGTATACAACTGTATGACATGATCAGATATGATATGATAGATTACGATATGATAAAATACAGTATGATAAAATATGATACGATATGATCTGATATGATACGATATAACATGACCTAATATTTTTGGAGAGGAGAGAAAATGGCGAGGATGAAATGAAATTAATTGAAATGTAATGGAAACAAAATGAAATTATATGATGATATGATGTAACATGATAAAACATAATATATGATATGATACAAGATATGCTATGCTATGCTTTGACACGGTATGATATGCTGTAATATGCTATATGATTCAATATCATATTCTACAGCATATGATGAGGGAGGAGAGTAGAGGAGAAGAGATGGCATGGGATTGGACGGGATGGAATGGGATGGGATGAGATTGGATGCAATGGGATGAGATGAGACACAATGTGATGCGATGCCATGAGATGAGATGCAATGAGATCAGAAGCGATCTGGGAAGACGCTGGCTCAGGCAGTTGGCTGTGTCCCACCTGCCTTGACAAACTGCCACCACAACCCGCAAGTGGCACGTGCCCACTGCGCCCAGCGCCTGGGATGCAAAGCACAGAATTACTAGGGTGTCCCAGACACACGGGGAACCCCAAATGTGGCTTTACACAGGGTTCTTGCACCCTTCAAACAGTCATGTACCACACACTTGGACCAAGCACTAGCACCCTCACTACCAATGACCAGTCCTAGTCCAACTCTGCCAGGCGCTCACACTACTTCTGCTGCAGTCCTGCTCTTGTCTATTGATGCAGATGACCTGGACCAGTCCTGCAAGAGATACTGATGAATGGTGTGCGGGACAGTGGGAGGTTTCAAAGACATGCTGCAGGGGCTGGGATTCTGCCATTATTTCTGCTGTGCTGCAATACCTCTTCTCCTTCACAGACAGCTCTAAGATACCCCAAAGAAAAGTCCTACTTCCAGGGCTGGGCTGAGGCTTCCAGGAAAAATCCACTACCTCATCACATTACAGTGTACATAGAAATACATGGAGACATATATAAATAAAAGACCTATTTATTAATACTTTAAAGACTGGTAGATAGTAGATAGATCTAGTAGATAGGGGGAAGAGAATTTTCATAACATGCCTTGTGGGTCCCACCAACCAGGGTCCCAAACGCCAGTGACAGGGTGGCGAGAGGCAGCAAAGATGCCATCCCAGGGGGATCAGTCTCCTGAGAGCGGGCAGGAAAAAACAACCCAGAAGTGCCACAAGCCCCCTTCCCACTTCCACTGCTGGGGAAGACTGGGAAACACGCACATCAGCATCCCAGGGCCAGCGGTGCCGGCCCCATCCCTTCCCCTCGCACATGAAATTCACCTCCCCCAAACCACAGCCGGCACGGGAAAGCCTCGTTTAGGCCAGGAGATCACCAGCAGGGCAGGAAAGCATTGCGAGGGGCAGCTGCTGGGGCTGACAAAGCAAAGCCCCGCGAGGCTGCTGAAGCAGCCAGGACTCGTGGAACTGGGGCGGAACCCGAGGGAGGGGGCAGTTGGCCCCCGCCCAACCGGCACTGACCAACTGCCGGGGCAGGTACAGCAGCAGCTCCCGCTCCTCCTGGTGCTCCTGCCCTACAGGTAAACCCCAGCCGGCTCTGCCTGCCAAACTCTCACCCCAGCACCTCTCTGCTTCTCCCAACAGAGAGGCTCCCTCTCCAGCTGCCCACGGCATCGGAGGTACCCGGCGTGAGCTTCACCGCTCCGGCCATGCC